AATAAGAAAAACTAGTACCAAATAACTTGGCTCTAATAACAGTTGTTAGGAAAAACCTATAAAACGGAATAATTCTTTTCCCTTTTTGTGCATCCAAATAGGTTCCTCATAAAAATACAAACTTGATATCAAAATGCTAATATCAACCAGAAACAAGATAAACAGTAAAGCAATAAATTATTCACACAGTGAGACCAAATTTTTAACGTGAAAAACCTAATACGGAAAAAATTATAGGTCCATAATCCACCTTAAACTTTTACTTTCAATAGCAATGATAATAGGTATATAATAAGTCTTTTTTAAAATAATAAGAGGATCAATAAGATCATATATCTTCACTCAAAAATAACATATCTTCGTCTCATCATAATAGAATTTTATTCTCTTTTTAGCCAAAATTGATAAAGTTGAACCGTTGATCTCTAACTGCACAAACGCACGTCACTGCACAAATCCCTTTCCTTTTTACCGCCCTAAACTGGACGCCTTTTTTTCTTTTAATTATTGATTTAGGCTCCTTTTAATTATTGATTTGGGCTATAAAGCTCAATTGTTCGGTCCACGCCCACGGCTGAACCCAACACAAAATAACTACATATCTTAGTGAAGATTACTATGGCCTTTCACCATACTTTTAGAATAATATTGATGCGGTTGTCACAAAATTGTCCACCATCATCTTCTTTTTTGAACTAGCTGATGAAGCCTAGTTTCTTATATTGCATGAGCACTGGGTTAATTCTATGAGATAATCAAAATGCTTTAAGTATATTAAACTTAGTAGTGCATTAGTAATAAGAACAACAAGCAAGACTCTATGATTAGGCTTCTTGATATCCATGTTAGCATGGTATCATCAGCAAGAGCTATAAGCCATCCACCACATCATATTCGACAACTATGTCGAGTTGCATAGCACAAATGCCTTTTAGTTAGTACTCAAAGAAGCTGTGCCTTTGAGGCATGACCTCATCCAAGGGGATCCCCGCACCCACACTGGAGCAGCGCTTTCTGTGTCTACCATTATTGCTGTTGTCCACCCGAGCCTTGAACACAGCACAGACAGGTCTGTGATCAGAGAATCTCGACTCTCCTCTTATGTACTGAAGCTGTTCTATGCCATTGCCATACCATAATATCCTATCACACCTATGTCACAAAGATTAATTATGTTAGATTTCCTGTAGCTGCTAATAACTGGTTTTGTTCTCGCATCGAAAGATGGTTATTACCATGCCGGTGTTCTGCGCTTCCTTTTGGATTTGGTCATCTCCCCGGCATATGCATCGGAGTTGTGCCAGTACTTGTATGTAGGAGCGAAGTAGATCTTCCCTTCTTTCCACCCATCGAACACCCTTCCCGCTTCGCGCTCTGTCATCAACTGTAATCAGCAGTTCAACAACAAAAAGGATGTAAAATTAAGCATCAGTCTTCTGATGGATATCTATTCATATGAAGCATTCCATAGGAGAAGCTAAAGATTTGTAGCTCAAACTGAAACAGTACATATCAAGTAATGCTGCACGTACTTGAGTGCATTTGATTACTTGATACTGATGAGTAGATAATTCCGTACCTGGTCTTTGTCTAGAAGAGCATCCCAATCATTAACCTCTAGTAATGTTCGTGCGTCATGATAGCTCAGTGAAATCCGGTAGTTCAAATCACCGAGCCATATCACGCGACTACAGCAGATTGAAATGCACTAGATTAGCATGTCAAAAAACAACGTTTACATTTCTAGAGTTTGCATGAAAGAGAGAGAGAGAGAGAGAGAGAATAGATACTCATGGTCAAGGATCTTTTCAGGGATTTGACTATCTGGTGTCTTGCAAATCGTCGGGAATTGTGTGCTCTTAAGGATCTCAGCAACATCCGCGTTCCTCTTCAGCTCGTCACCTTCCTTCTCGCCCGAAGTCAGGTGGCTGCAGACGAAGCAAAAGCTCGTCCGGTGCAACGACATGCTCATCGCAATGCAACCCTAGCAAGATCACACTTCCTGTCAGCAACCACCAGAGCTTTTATCTGTGTCATTGAAGCTGAAAGTTATGTAACTCCATCAACCTTGTTACCCAGGCAGCCCATGATTCCTCTCCCGACAGAGGCCATCCTTAGATGACCGATGTGTTGCACGAGCTCGCTTCGGACCCATACGGCGAGGAAGATGCCCACCATTTGCTTGCTCGCGATGAGGCAGTATTTCCCGTTGTTTCGGACTTCATAGCTCGCGTGACGTGACATGGAGTAGCACTCCTCCGACGAGCCTGAGCAGCCGCTGTCGACGAACTCCCTGGGCTTCCTTGTCCTTCGTCCGACGCCGCAGGCCTCAACTTCACAGTTGCATGTCTTGACAAGGGGATTGTCGACACCGTAGTTCTTGCTGAGGACTTTGAAAGAAGACTTTTGGGACAAGTGGCCGCTCGTCGACCTGGATTCCTTATAGTATATTGAGACATTTGAGTCGTCGACCTCGTCGCGGGGCTCGTTGAGGGCTTGACTGATGAGAGCAAGCCATTTGGCAGCAGGCTCGTTGTCCTCCATCACCAACACATTCCCTGCATTTAACGGAACTATTTCCTGAAACCTGTGAAGGAGATAGACAAGGAAGGAATCCAAATCATTAGCGACCGTGTCATAATGACAATTGTCTTGATTACATAAGTCTAGAATGTTTGTAACAATCCATAATGACAATTGAATTGATCGATGCCATGGCTCATGATCATTTGTCAGCAACTTTCAACCTCTCTAGCTATAGGTTTTGGTGCCGTACATCCTTTGGATCAGCTGTCATCATGCAGGAAAAAAGAAGAAAGGCAATGCATGGCCGTAGAGCTTCTTACCCTAATACATAGATATCAGAGTATCCTCCTACTTGTAGGAAATCTTGAAGGTCGAGGCCAATGTTTGGAGACTTTCCTGCAACATTCCATGTTCCAACAAATATCCTGCAATGCATGTAGACTTGGAACTTAACATATAAACACAACGTTTAGCCAATATTAATCCAACATGAATATATAGATTGCATGTAATCTTACCGATACTCCTGGCCTCGATCAAAACCTTTTATTCTGGGTCTCTCCAGAACAGACAGGTTCAGACGTCCAACTCGTGAACTCCTGTTTCTGCCTGAAGAGAAAGAAGTTTTAGACGACATATCAAATGCTAGATTTAAATCATCTTGCCATTTAACACGGGTATCACGTTCGTTTGTGCAATGGATCCACGAACCACCTGAAAAGCTTTTCTTTATTACCGGATATGCCTCCGCAAGACCTCTCTTGGACATGTACCTGCTCTCCAGATCTTTTTCGAAAGAAGAAGAAAATCTCAAACGCTTTAGATGAGCAAAATTGTGGAATAAGACATAAATATGAGATAAAAGATCTAGTACCAAAAAGGATCTCTTTTTCTGCGATTATATCTCCATCCGGGCCTCTCTTGTTCTTTCCCTTTCTCCTGAAAATTCTTGGCAATATGGACTGCAACACCGTATATATTAGTGAGACGAGAAAGCTAGCCAATCAAGAACATGTTCAGCTTCTGGCAAGAACTCAAAGCAGCAGCAGCAGCAGCAGCAGACACATACCTTTTTGCTTTTGTCGTCCTTTACAGATTCATCAGCTGTTCTGGATTTCGTCATGTCGTCAGAGAGCCCGTTGAATGGCTTCCAATTCAGGAGTGCCTTTGGTTTGTATGCTGAGCCGTCGGATGTCCTACTTCCACCAGGGAGATTTTTATGGCAGAAACGAGCTGAACTGTGTTGGCTAAAGGAAGAAAGCTCTGGATGGCAGGTAAATGATAGGAACAAAGAGGGAGACAGTGGTTGAAGAGAGGTTCTATTTCTGTGTCTGCAGTTATTGGCTTTAGCTTGTTTTTAGCTATTGTTTGTAGAAAAGAAACGCTTGTGTCACCTTCTTTAGAAACCTAACCTACAGAAAGAGAAGACTCAGTCTTCATCCCCCAATCCTATCCATGTATTGCACCTGCATGGCTAGCATATAAGTAGAACATAAAGCAAAACTAATTAATATATGAATTATCTGATCACATCCTGACCAATAATACTTATGCCAAGAGAAAAACCATTAGATACAAATATGCTGAAATAAATTATATCTACACATTTGTTACCACGTTGGATAATTATATTACTAACTTTATTGAGTTTAAATCATTGATCCAAAATATGTCGGTCGATGATCAAAGGGAAAAGATAGAAAATAAAATATCTTTTTGCCCTACCATATTTCCATGCCATTAGAAATTATGAAGATTATATCATATCTCAGTCTTAAGTACCGATTGCAATCCCTTTTACTTTCAACTACATGTTCGAATAGGCATCTGCGACAAATCTATGCCGTATCCTTGTAGATAGGATTGTGTTAGATTAATGGGCCAAGAACAGATGAAATCGAGACACAAGTATTGGTCTATCAGTGAGTTATTTCATGTTTGACGTACGCAATCATCAAGATACGTAGTGAATGACCCAAACTTAAATGCCATGGTTTTTCAAACCTAATTGATGCTTTGACTGGAGAGAGAATGAATCAAATATACTAGATGAATGTTTTCCTGGGTTGCAAGCATCTGATATATGAAATGGACATGATTGGTCCCTTTTGATTTGGTGATTGTACCATTGTCTATCTAGGAGAGATCGTGTTGTTTTGACTAAGAACGTGGCATGCACCCCCTCTTGTGGGAACAAATTCCATTCAACTTTTATGTTCCGCAAATCTGATCAGAAAATCTCGGTACCTTTTTAGTGTGGTCGTAGCATTGATTCAAAAAATTTACTCAAGCTTCAAGGATTGATGTAAAAAGTCCAGATCATCAATGTATCATGCAGCAGAAGTTGCTGAGAATGACTACCAACACTAATCAAGATGAAAATATCACCCAGTTAGCAAGTGAAAAAAGAAATAGTGGTGCTGCAACAAGTAAAGATGATCATATGATGGGTGTGTTGGTATCAGCAAATTGAGATTCCAAGGAATTTGTTGCCATAGCAATCCTGCATCTGATGATACTGATTGATCACAACCACCAAATAAGCAATATTGAGTAGAAAGTGATGTCTACTGCTACAGCTATAGAAATCATGTATCTGATGATGACCTTTGACAGTGGAAAGTCTCAAGTAGCTGATGTGCCACAGGACCTGCATAATAATGGCAGACTAAGTACATGGTAGGCAAAGAATGAGGGGAGAATAGAGAAAGAGTGAGTAAAAGGACACTCCAAAGTTACTGATGCATGAAACTTCATTATCGTTCATTATATCAGGACTAGAAAACCTGCTCTATGGTGATTTATTTTTAGAAATTGAAGACCATACTGTGCTCCAATTAGGACTCCTGAATCAAAAGATTTACTGATCGAAGCTGTTCTTCTGTTTTGTAAACAAAAAGGGATTACATGAAATTCTATGCATCATTAACTTGCTAATCCTAAATCCTAATCGCTTAAGAACTTTAAGCCAAAATGGAATTTACATAGGACTCCACAACATTATAATAAGAGTGTATGTGATAACAAAATCCACCTAAATATACCGAAAAAAAGAAAAAACAATTGAAGCTGGCATGATTATGTTCTAACTCAGGCTAAGCTTCAAATTAGACTCACAATCTATACTGTCCTACACTAGTAAATGTTTTCTCACTGAAATATGGATCTTTCATGTCGCTTTCTGTCACTTGTGCTATTTGTATTCTGAACTATCTTGATTTTACTACGTTATTTTCTTTCCATGTACTTTAGGATGATGCCTTTCTGGAGAAATGCTACTAGGGAAAAGATCCAAGAAGGATCAATGAAATGAGTGCAGTTTTTACTCCTGCTAGCAAAGAGGTTATCCTCGTGACTCGTTCTGTAGTCTCTCAGATCACAAATGCGCAATTGTGTCAGCATCACGGCATGCTTTCTCGAGAAAATAATTATTGACAATTGTGGTTGTGGTCCAATATCTGGATTTTATCGGTTCGTCGGTAGTCATCAGAAGATTTCAGTGTGTCATTCCGAGCATAAGCTAGTTCTCCATGGCTCCTATGTGCAGTGCAGTGCAGCGTTCCATTACGTTGTGGTCATATCACGCTATATGATGCAAAACAGGCACAAAGGTGAAAGATCTTTATGCTTTTGGTCTCACTCATGATATCAGCAACCAAAGTCTAGCTCAAGTGGGTGGGCAGCATGTCATATGCCTTACTTTTCCTTTTGGTAGGGCCAAAACCTGAATCATTCCTGCTTGTTATGCTTCCCTGCACGAGAAAGATACGCACATAAAACAAAAGCCAGTGGAAGATGAACTCTCTGAGCTGTGATTCTTCCCATGCGTCCTTGAAGAAGGAAGCGTCAGCATTAGCACCTCCGTGGGAACTACATATTCTTGGGCATGGTTGTCTTTTGGGTTCATTGTTATGAACAGTTGGTTCATGTTGAACAACAAAGTGGAGGCTGATGCCAAGCCAATGCTTTGTGAAGGCCAGAGGTTCCTTACAATGATCAGGATTGCTTGGACAATGAAGCTGAGAGAGTCATCAAGATTCATACTATCATTAAACAAACCATGAGAGGAGTACTATTCTAAGTGAAAGATAATCTGAATAAATTTATAAGGGTTAGATAAGTCTACTATCATTAGCTTAGCTTAAGTATTTTAGATCGTTCATTCAGACTTGATAATTAAATATATGAAGTATCATTCGGATCATAATAAATGACATCCGACCCAATATAGACATTATAAGAGGCTGCTCGGATGGAAAATGATACACCACAAACCACTATAGATTATAGACAGATCCATAAACACTGCAAATCTACGAAGACCTAAAATCTTAATTATTTTAGACAAATTTGTGACCATTACAATCTCCTCAAGTTTCTAATGCAAGTAAGATGATGGCAGAGGCATGGAGATGGAAGGCAATTCATCTGTCTATAGCTGACACATAAACAAGCTTCGTCAGCTTTACAAACTAAGACCACATCTTAGTTTCATCTCAGTGCCCCAAACAAGTGGACAATTCAAGGCCTACTTCATTTGTTATGATGGTGCTTGGACTCCAGCGTATACTTTATATGATTTGCTCATTCTTTGCACTTTGGAGATACTACAAGTGTATTCTTATATTGATTATTAGTAACTTGATATAATCTTTCTATCTCTTTCATCTTAGCTTGGAAGAACCAATATTGATGGTGTTGGATATTATATGCATGCTGAAAATATAAATAATTTAACTTGTCTTGAAAAAAATATCAACTCATGCCTTAATAGTTTCCACCTAGTCATAATGATAGAGGATAGGAATGAATGAGATGTGACATGAAATTAATGAAATTGGGTATGTGGTGATCCACAATTAATTTGGTTATAATGCAAGGAGATTTGATCATACAAGTCATATACTTTTTGTTTAAAATGAATTAATTTTATGATATTTGATATGATTTAACCTGAAATATATATGGATCAGTGATGAAATTACTAAATTGGTCACATATAGGTTTGAATTCTTAACAAAATCGATATTTTTATGCATGTGATGAGACACTCTTAACACAATTTATGCTTTGAACATCAATTATTATTATACTACATATGATTATTTATTCATGCAAACAAATAGACTACATGTAATTGTTTAACAATACCACTTAATCTTTTGCAATGTGTTGGATTTGGATTGAGAACTTTTTCTACACGATATGTACAAATCAATTCAACTGAGTTATTGGACTCCACATCAACCTCTTATGCACAAATGAATCCATCTTAAACGGTTAGGCTTCTCTGATATATTTTATGTAATTGCATATGATGAACATAGACTTGAGCATGAGCTTATGAAAAGAATAAATGAGGCACAAGCGAACAAAATTAGAGAAAATGAGGTATAAATTAGGACCACTTCTTCTTGACACCATTAATGGCCGCATTCTTAAATAAACACATCTACCACATCGATTCTTCCATAGTCTCATGTATCATTGCACACCAACCAATGGAATGCTTGTCACGTAACCTATAAATTTCGAGATGTCAATGGTACGACCAAATCTACACAAGAATCTATCTTATAATAATTAGGAATAAGAAACGTACCTCAATAATTTGATGTCAACTTTATATCATTGCGAACTCACACCGACTCCACAGTATTAGTCGTCTAATCTCTTTAATTTCTTGGGTTTGTATGTGATCTCTTTTTATTATTATTATTATTAAGTCGTAGATGACGAGTTTTTATAAGCCTTTTATTGTGATAACTTTTGTTAAATAAAACGAAGGAAATAAAAATATTTTAACTATCAAAACGACAGTATAGTAGATCCACTTATTAAATGTTAAAGAGTTTGAAGAACTTACTTTTAGGAACAAATCTTATATTCACCACTTAAATTTTTGTAATAAAATATATATATATATATATATATATGAGTAGATGTTTGACATTAGGAGTTGAGAAGCTATCGTTATCATCATCGACACTTATTCGATTTTGTCCTCTCGATGTGCTTATAAGGTTCTGGTTCCTCGATATACTTTCATTTAAGATAATACGAAGATGTAATAAGGGGAGTTAATAGATAAATGCTACAATTAAATGAGATGATATAATTTGAATTAGTGGTTCAATGAGAAGCAAAGAAGACCTAAATAAATTACTGAAAACTAATAGTAAAAAATTAAATATTATTAATTTAATTAAGAATTTTTTTTATCTTAGTTAAAGTGATTACAAATAACTGAGACATTATGATTTGTTGAGATTTTGTATGTACTTAAAATATTGACATGTAAGTTGTGTACGGTAACGATTTATTAAAAATTGAGAACTTCAAATTTTATCCTATGATAATTTTGTACTGACTCACTTAGTTGACTGGTAGTTGTTATAATTTTTTATTTTGATGAACCTCCTTTATATATATATATATATATATATATTTATTTATTTATTTATTTATTTATATATATATATATATATTTATATATATATATATAGTAAGG